ACACACGTGTGACATGGTGGAGGCTTATCGGTTTGTTTGTGTTTTTTTGGCGTGCATGTGTGCGTGAATAGAGATGCGCTTAGTGTGTTTTTTTTTCCTCCGGAGGGAAACGCTGCTCCACTTTCCCTCCTCCATATGGCACATATGTCAGGCCGCAGCCCCACCCGCCGTCCTCACTCTGAACCTGACCGCGTCCGGGGGGGGGGAAGAAGGGGCGGAGAAGTTAGATTTTCAAACAAACGTACCTCTTATCAGGACTCATGCCCCTCTTTTTGGGCAAATAACCGGACAAAGTCAGTGTATCGACTTTAAGAATTGAGGGAAAAGGGAAAAAAAGGGAAAAAAAGAAAAAAAAAAAAAAAAATTGAGTGCCTATGCTTCGTCATTTCTGTTTCCCAATTTGTTTAAATCTTCTTTTATTTTGAAAACAAAACTCAAAACCCACCAGTTTAAAATTTCTTACCCACCTAACCATCCCTAACTCTAACATTCCCCTCATTCTGCACAGTTTTATTCATTACATTTTTATTCAATTCATTTATGATGTATTTATCTATGATTTTTTTGTGACTTTGTATGTTTTCTAATGTCTAAATGTTGTTTTAATGATGATCGTCTATGTAAAGTTTCCTTGAGTGGCATAAAAGGCGCTTTTTACAAAATAAAATGTAATATTATTATTTTTATTAATCAAATATTGTAAGGGAATCCTCTGAAAATACAAAGTAATGTCACATTTAATCCCGGGCAGGAGTCTTCAAACTACAATACTTTATTTGTCCATAAAAGCCAAACATCCTCTTAAGACCCTGAATGCACCCGTCAGAGCGCATGGTAATGCTTTCCAGAAGATAAGGATCAAGCTGAAACGGGATAGGGCAAAAGATCACGCGGTGTAGGGCGGGGCATTTTAAACAAAGACTTTGTTTTGTTTCCCGGACTCTTTTATTAGTATTATTATTAATCAAATATTGTTGGTTGAGGCTTGGTTAGGGTTAGTTATTCCTTACTGTCAGATTGAGGTAACGTGTTGTTGGTTGGTGAAATAAATGCCAGTTTATATCCTGTGTGGCATTAGTTTTGGATTAGTTTTGGGCTCAACAGACCGTTTTTAGTGAGCCTGTTAGCTTGATTCTTTAGCTGGAAGCCTGAGAATAAACCAGAGCCGATCAAGAGTACAAATATGACATTTATTGGTCACAAGCAAAGGAAATCAGCACAGTGTTATTGGCCAGTTAGCTCTGACGGGAACAGGCCAGGTCCTAATTCATGCAGGTTTCGGTGGAATATGATAAGAAAGTGTTTAACCCAAAAGTATAATTATAAAGGGAATGATATAAATCTGAAAAGGAAAGGACAATCAGTCATTGACATGGATTAAGTCATAACATACTGTGCTAAAGTGAGTAATTATAACCCAATTCTAACAAATCTACCTGCTGACCCGTAGTGGTGGGCCTCCATTTTGATGTGGGGCCTGCGGGCATCTTCTTGTTTGCAGCCATGTTAATAATAATAATAATAATAAATAATAATAATAATATTACATTTGAATAAGCGCCTTTCATGCCACTCAGGGATACTTTACAAAGACGATCATCATTAAAACAGCCCTGAAACATAAGAAAACATGCAAAGTCACAAATAAAAACATCATAAATGAATAAAAATGGAGTGAATAAAACTGTGCAGAATGAGGGGAATGTTAGAGTTAGGGGTGGGGAATACATTTTAAACAGGTGGGTTTTGAGTTTTGTTTAAAAAAAAAGATGGAGAGTCTGTATTTGGGATGTCAGATGGCAAAGACTTCCAGAGTGTTCTTTTTTTTTATTTTTCCTGATGCAGCTGCAGCACCTCTGCATCATCCGCCCATCTCTCCCGTCCAATAAGCTTAATGGCGGTTAGGGGGGGGGGGGGGGATTAGAGCTCCAGATGGTGCTGCTGTCTGTCTGTCCAGCTGCGGGCGGGAGGTCACATGTTTTACAGTGGTAAAAAAACCCACACACACACACACCTACTAACTGTCCAGTTTGCTGAGGCACCTTTAGTTGTGTGTTTCCCAGCTCCAGGAAGCTGAGGAGAGGACCGGTGCAACAGATGTGGAGCCATCAAATTAAAGCTTAATGCCCGGCCCGCTAAAGGAAAACACTCCAGAGCTAACCATGACACCACAGGGCTTAAACACAGTGTGTGTGTGTGTGTGTGTGTGTGTCAGTGTGTGTGTGTGTGATCCGTCTCCGGTCGGCTTCACTCCACATACGGCACCTCCATGGTTGGAAGAGCTCTGGAGGATGACCGTTTATATCACTTCCTATCCTCTAGATTTCTCCCGGTTTGCAGCTTTTCTAGAGGGTCGGCTTTTTTCCGCCCCCCCCCCTCCTCCTCCGGGGCTCATGGCGCTCTGAACAACAAAAAAAAACCCTCCGGGGGATTTGCATAATTCATTCCAGCGGCTGCGGAGCGGACGGGTGACACAGGTGTCCCGGGAGAACGAGCATGCCTAAGAAGCCCAAGGTAAAAAGA